AATATGTGTACTGCTTAACCACCACTACCAACAACTCCAACACCAACAACAGCAACAATAAATACATACTTGTACTTTTCAGGTTCTTACGAAGGTACTTTGCAGGTTATTTTTCAACTCACCCTTTTAAGACAAACCATTATAATGTGAAAGCTCAGTGCCATGTTATAATCATGATCCAAAATATCAGTCAGTAAGAAAAGCAGTCCCAATTTATTCCTACAAATTTTGGTAGTGCTTGGGGTAAAAATTTTCTCTGGAATCTGATAAATTTTGTGGGTTTTTTTAAATTGATGTATTAACCTTAATTTCTGTGGGAAACTGCCACATTATGCTATTGATATGGACTATAGAAGTTGATCCCAATTACTACTTTTTATTTAGTGAATCATCCTCTGTTATGATCATATTTGCTTGTTGTTATGTAGATTTTCAGGACACTAAAGCCTGAGTTGTTCACCCACAGTGGAGGACTCTATCCTCCACTAATGAAAGTTGAAATGATTATATTAATTATAATAAAAGTTGAAATGCTTTTATTTCATGGGAGCAAAATTAGATAAATAATTATTTGCTGTGGCAGTTAACTTTCTCCACTCATCCACACAATCTATATCTTCTTTTTTTTTAAGATTTTATTTATTTGAGAGAGAGAGAGAGAGGGAACACAAGCAGGGAGAGAGGGGCAGGGAGAAGCAGGCTTCCCACTGAGCAGGGAGCTGGATGAGGGACTCCATCCAAGGACCCTAGGGTTATGACCTGAGCTGAAGACAGACGCTTAAAGACCAAGCCACCCAGGCACCCCAATCTATATCATTTTGAGTTGACTTAGGTTTGCCTCTGGTATCATGTCACATTATTCATAAAAATTCCATCGTGATCTCCTGTGTTCAGTACCTTAGCAAACTTAAAACTGTCTGACCATTGCTGTGCTGTCCTATTATCCCTGTATTTCTGATAAGATTTTTGAGGCCAAGAGAAAATATTTCAGTTTCCCTCATGTTGCTTATTTCTTGGATAGGAAGAATCATGAACTAGTCAAAATAACATACAAGAAATTCTGAAATATTTTCTTTTATGCTAAGTAGTTATAGATGACTTTCATATTATTCCAATTTCCTATTATCACTAAATTGTGCATACGGTCTTAGGAAGTTGACTTACTACCTTTTAAGAATTCCTGGATCTCTTCCAGAAGAATCATTCTAATTTACAAAACCATTGGTGTAAAGAGCACAGGCGAGATCATGGTCAGAGATCATGGTCAGAGATCATGGTCAGAGATCATGGTTTAATGCTGGTTCTGGAGCTTATGAGCTTGAGCAAATCCCTTACCTCTCAGGAAAATCGGCGCTCTGATTTAAAGTATGTTGCTGAGGAAATTGAAACCATTGGCATATATAAAGTATTTGGTACTCAGCAAATGTTGTTCTGCGTCATTTACATATGTCACCTCATATATCGCTGTAGCAAACTTGTAAAGTGGGTGTTATTAATCTGGTCTAAATAAGGAAAGTGAAAGTGACAAAGCCAGATACCAGTTGTTTGTCAGGTATATGGTTTGCAATTATTTTCACTTACTCTGTAGCTTATCTTTTAGATCCCTTAACAGAGTGTTTTTACTTAATTTTTTTCAAATTTTTATTTAAATTCTAGTTAGCTAACATACAGCGCAATATTGGTTTCAGGAGAACTCAGTGGTTCATCACTTACATACAACACCCAGTGCTCATCACAAGTGCACTCCTTACTAACGGTATTAATGGGGTGTTTTGCAAAGTAAAAGCTTTAATCTGATGATGCCCGATTTATTAATTTTTCCTTTTATGGATCATACTTTCGGTCAACTCTAAGAATTCTTTGCCTAGCTCTAGCACCTACAGATGTTTTCTCTTGTTTTTTTCTAATAATTTTATGTTTAAATTTAAGCCTTTGATCCACTTCAAGTTAATTTTTCCAAAAGATGGAAGAGATAGGTCAAGGTTTTTTATATTGTTTCATTTTTGGCCTGTCCATGTCCAATTGCTCCAGCACCATTTGTTGAAAAGGCTAGCTTTCCTCCCTTGATTATGGTCTCAAAAGCCTTGAAATCAAGTAAACTGATCCTCCCCCTTTATTCTTCTTTTTCAAAATTGTTTTAGGTAGGGGCATCTGGGTGGCTCTGTTGGTTAAGCTTCTTACTTGGGCTCAGGTCATGATCTCAGGGTCCTGGGATCCTGCCCTGCATTGGGCTCCCTGCTTAGCGGGGAGTCTGCTTCTCCCTCTCCCTGGGCCCCTCCCTCCCCTCGTGTTCACGCTCTGTCTCTCATAAATGAATAAAATTCTTAAAAAAATGTTTTAGCTATTCTTTATCTGTTGTGAGCAAGAGTTCTGTGATTTTGCAAAAAAAAAAAAAAAAATCAGAAGAAAAATAATATTCTCTTTGGAGAATGATTGTGAGATTATGGGAGATGACCTGTATGAAGTATTTAATATAGTACCTGGCATAAGATGTAAACACTTAGCTTCCTTCCTGTTGATTCTAAACCAAATTGTTCACACACACACACACACACACACACTCATACACACCTCTCCCCTAGTGGTACTTTATATTATGTTTTCAGTTTTATGTAAATGTGTTATATATGCAACCAGGTAAGAAATATGCCTTGGGTAAAAAAAAAGTGTGTGTGTATGTGTGTGTGTGTGTGTGTGTGTGTGTGAAGGAAATAGCTGAAAAGGACCAGCTGTCACTCTCATCCACATCTGTACATAGAAAATATCCTGTTGCCATTTCTTTCCCATATCCTCAATTTTAGATATAAGAAGCTCTGGTAAGGACTACAATCACCTGGGCAGCTTTCATTTCATCCAAACATCAACAGAACTGTTCTGATGCCCAACCACAATAGGGAAAAAAATAAAAACAAAAAACAAAAAAACAAACCTGTGATTATAAACATCACGCAACTCATCAGAACTTGTTTCTGAATAACATATTGGCTATCACTGACAAAATGCCAGTGTCCCTTTCCACGTTAGCCCACTGCCCTCCTTGCTGTTCCTCCCACTTTCCAGATATACTGTGGCTTTTGCCCTGGCTCAGATTTGTCCTCTAGATATCCACATGGCTCTATCCTTCATCTCCTTCAGATGTTATTCAAATGTCGCCTTCTCTGCCCTGTCTATTGAAATCACTCCACTCCACCCAATACAATTTAGTCTCCTTCCCTGCTGTATTTTCCTATTGTCTCCTATCACTGCCTAACATAGAACATCTATATCTGATCATTTGATATGTTTGATTATTTTATCCAATAGCATGTAAGCTCCATGAAGGCCATTTTCACTGCTGTTTCCTTTGTACCTAGAATGGTGCTGGCATATAGCAGTCACTTGATAAATACTTATTGAAGAAGGAAGTAGAGAGGGTTCCAAAATCCTTGGTGAATGTCATAGCTTTTGACTATAATATTTAAATCTAAGACCAGCGGCAACTTTAATAGGGATATTAAATCTTTACTATCTATTTTCTTCTAGGAGAATGTCAATCAAATAAACAGATATAAATAAATTCATATTTCACAAATTCTCCTATTTCCTTCCCCAAATCACCTCCCTCTCCAACGCCCACCCCAGAAAAAGATGAGATTAAAGGAAAAATGCAGCTCTTGTCCACAGGCCTTCTCTTATTTGACTGTTCAGGCCCAAAATTTTGGAGACTTTCTCCTACCTACACTCAACTGAGAATCTGTAACCACTCCCACTATCTTTACTGCTATTGTCCCTTCTGGCCACAATCAGCTCTTGCCTGAAATATGGCAAATTGTCTTCTAACTGGTTTCCCTCCTTCCAAATTTGACCCTCCACAATCATTACTTCCCAATCAGCCATAGTGTTCTGGACTGAATTGTGTCCTAAAATTCATATGTGACTATATTTGGAGACAGAGCCTTTATGGAAGTCATTAAGGTATCATAAGGTTAGGACACTAATCTGATAGGCCTTTTTCCTTATACTAAGGGATATGAGTGAGCTCAGTCTCTCTCTGCCATGTGAGGACACTGCAAAAAGGCAGCTGTCTTCAAGCCAGGAAGAGAGCTCTCCCCAGACCCCACCATGCTGGCACCCTGATCTCAAGCTAGCAACTTCTCACAGAAGATATTATTGTAATGAATTTGAAGTATGTATTGCTAAATGTCAGTTTAATAGACTTGCAACTTCATAAATTGCATCATCACTTCTAACATAAAGATATACATGTTATAACTTCCTTTTAGAAACAAAATGTTTGGTGTTCAGTACCCTCAAGAATTATTGCAATAAATCCAAATAAGTATTTTTCCAGTTCCTACCTGTAATAGGAGTGTGAGTTAATAAATTAGATCACCTGAAATGAGCTTAAATTTTCAGTAATTTTAACAATTGACTTTTTCAGCAGGTATTTAGTGATGACCCACTATGCATAGGTATTGATTGATTGCTGAGGATTAAAAATAAAAATAAAACAGTTCCTTTCTTCAGGTTGCTGAAAGATTAATAGGAATCGACTCATGTTGAAATAATAATGAGTTTTAATACAAAGCAAAATTTAAACACAATTCTTCAGTGGTTTTTATTGTTATTTCCTTTTTTTCCCAGTTAAATCCAACTAAACGTATATTCCCCGTTTTGTAAATTAGGGGAATTAAAACAAATTATATATCAATTAACATAGAGAAACATATGGAATTATTTTTCCACAGATTAGCAGTGGCCATCTATGAGTTATGCTTGCGTCACTTTAAAAGTAAGCAAGTATTAGCCATAAAACATTTAGAACAATATTTTCCATTAAATTTCAACTCTAAGAACTAAGACAAGAGGTGGGATGTGGCACACACAAATGAAGCCAATAAATGCTAGAGGTTCCGGTGCAGAAAGTTCCTAAATGATATTTGGCAGGGGGTTCGTGCCGCGGTCGGAAGAGCAACCTAGGTGCTGGCAACTCCTACTTAAAACTTTCACTCCTCCCAGCCCGGCCCGCGGAAAACCTACAGGCAGCAAGTTCTGCCTCGGGTCTACGAACGCTCCGGGGCGCTGGAAACGAAGACGGAGAAGTGATCTGATTGGCTAAGAAATGAATGACGCAACGTATCTCAGGCCCACTGAGAATCCGCCTCCCCCAGCCTGGCTCAAATGCCGCTTTCGATTGGTCCTTACGTCAAGAGCGCAGCGACATTTCCCGAAATTAACCTCTGGGTCCGGAACCTTGGGCAAAGATGGCGGCGGCCAGGTGCTGCCGGCTAGCCCTCCGCGGGCCGGGGCTGTCACTGCACACTGCGGCAGAGGCCGCCGTCACGGCTCCAGAAGTGACCGGCCCCGATGTCACGGCGGCCCCCGTCGCGCGCTACCCGCCGATTGTGGCCTCCCTGACTGCCAAGAGCAAGGCGGCACGGCAGCGGCGAGTGGAGCGGTGGCAGGCGACGGTGCACGCGGCCGTGTCGGTGGACGAGAAGCTGCGAATCCTCACCAAGATGCAGTTCATGAAGTACGTGGTTTATCCGCAGACTTTCGCTCTGAACGCTGACCGCTGGTATCAGAGTTTCACCAAGACCGCGTTCCTGTCGGGCCTGCCGCCGCCGCCAGCCGAGCCCGCGGAGCCCGCGGAGCCCGCGCCCGTCCTGGACCTGGCGGCCTTGCGCGCCGCCGCGTGTGACTGCCTCCTGCAGGAGCACTTCTACCTGCGGCGCAAGCGGCGCCCTCCCCTCTACCAGGACCGCGAGGCTATCGCCTCGCCCTTCCTGGATCAGCTGGTGGCCACCCTCGTGGGCCTGCTCAGCGCGCACAACCCCGCCTTGGCCACCGCCACCCTCGGTGAGCCTTGGGGCGCCACGCCGGGCGGGGGCGGGGGGCACTGTTCCTTTCTTTCTTTCTGCACTGTTAATTATATTTCTAGTCCTTCCGCGCCTCGCTGGGCGCCGCCAGGTTTAATAGCAGTCACTGCGCCAAGAATCTGGAGACTGGGTTCCCTTCCGGCCCTGGGCTGCCACCTCCCAGCTGTCCAGCCTTCCACGATTCCAGTGTTTGGTTCTGCTTTGTGAAGGTCCAGCCAAATGGAATGGAAGAACAGTGTTGGTTAAGAGAAGGGGCTCTTAGAGGGCGGGGCAGACCCTTCCACCAAAAAGTTACATGACTGCATGTCAGTTCATTAACCTCTTTTGGGTTGAAGTAGTTTTTCTCATTCTCAAGATGAGAATTACGGTAATAGTACGTTTTCGTAGAAGTGTGAACATTAAAGGCGATACTGAGTAAAATTAACATTTACTCAGTACTTAACTATGTACCAAGCCCTGTTCTAAATTTTTATGTGCCAACCAATTTAATCTTCACGATGACCGTTTATAGGAGGGTAGCATTGTTTTATGAATGGGAAAACCACCCTGAGGTATACAGAACGGTAAAACGAACCTAGTCGGAGAGCCTGTAGCTGGTAGATTTGAGTTCAGGATTCAAACCTAGCCATTTGGGGTTCCCAGGAAACAATCAGAAACTTCTTTTAACTGCTCAGTGCAGACATGAAAAATTAACGGACAGTTTTTAAAAATCAGTGTTTTTGAGGTATTCATTACTTTATATTTACTGCCTGGTAGGTGTCTTAATAAATATTTATTGACTTAATGTCGTTGTAACTGTAGACGTGTGTTCAACTGAGTCCTGTAGTGTGCATGTTACTTCTGTCTCAGTTGGGAAGGAAGTGGTCTTGAGAGAAGCCTTGGGGATTTTGACTACTGACTGTTGGCCTAGGAGAACTTGACTTTGTCAAGACCCAGATCCCTCTTCTATAAAGTGGAGGTGATGACAACTGTATGCATACCTTTGAGAGTTACTGTGAAGATTGATTTAGTAATTCTGACTCCTATAAAAACTTTTTATTTCTGGTGAGTGATACTCCTTTTGGTCTTATTTTCTTTATGTTTATTCTTAACCGACAAACCTCTTCCATTACAGTGTTTAGTGTATGATGGATGGCACAAGTAGACACTAAATGTTTGAGCATTATATTTAAGTCACAGTCATTTAAGTTAAATCATCATATAACCCAGACTCTATCTTACAACAAAGAGTAATTTTTGATAATTTTTAATTTCCACAGTTACTAAGTTCTGTATTGCTGGTATTCTAATAATAACCAAATTGATCTAAATGATTAAATAAAATTTTGAATATCTTTTGATAGATTGTAAACGCCCAGTTCACTTTTACTGGTTGCGAGGTGAAGAAATTATTCCTAGTGGTCATCGGAAAGGTCGAGTTGATGCTTTGCGATACCAAATAAATGATAAACCACACAACCAGATTCGAATATCCAAACAACTCCCACAGGTAAGGATTTATTGTATATATATCTACTGACATCTGATGAGGAAATGTCATAGGCAGCCTAGGTAATGGGCTTAGTAGAATAAAAAGTTTTAGATGGATCCCTTTCGAGTTTCTTTCACATACTTATCATGAAATTCTTTTTCAGCTTTTTAACCTGTTATGGTATGTATAGTGCTCAAAGGTCAAATAATAATTTTTAAGCAGGATTAAGGCATCAGTTTTCAGGATCATACAAATCTTTTCTTTTTCTTACTATAAAAAACTTTGGGCTGCCTGGGTGGCTCAGTCAGTAAGGGTCCTGGGATCAAGTCCCCATCTGGCTCCCTGTTCAGCGGGGGAGTCTGCTTCTCCCTCTTCCTTTGCCTCCCCCCCACCCCCCCGCCGCTTGTGTGTGTGCACATTCTCTCTCTCTCTCTCTCAAATAAATAAAATCTTTAAAAATACCTATAAACAATTGATAATAGTTTATGATTGTAATTTATGATAGACTACACTACCTAATCATAAATCAAGGCATTTTTATAATTATAAGCTGGTCATTTTTTTTTATTTATAGTTCTTGTGGAGAAAATAAGTATATTCTGAGTGTTGTCTGTGTGTCTGAATACACACGCACGTGCACATTTTTTCTGTAAAAGTCCAGACAGTAAATATCTTAGGCTTTGGGGGGCCACAAGTCTGTGTTGCAACTATTCATCTTAGTTCTTAAATAATGTAAAAGCAGTTATGTACCATATGTAAATGAATGTGCCTGACTGTGTTGCAGTTAAACTTTATTTGTACAGTCAGGTGGCTGGCTGGATTTGGCCCATCACAAGATGGTGGTGTTACCAAATCATTTTGTAAAAAACATCTCATCTTAAGATTTTTAAGTCTATTAAGAATGTGAGTTGGGACGCCTGGGTGGCTCAGTCGGTTAAACGTCCGCCTTCGGCTCAGGTCATGATCCCAGAGTCCTGGGATTGAGTCCTGTATCAGGCTCCTTGTTCAGCAGGGAGCCTCCTTCCCCTTCTCCCTGCCGCTCTCCCTGCTTGTGCGCTCTCTCTCTCTGACAAATAAATAAATAAAATCTTAAAAAAAAAAAAAAAAAAGTGAGTAAAATTTATACATTAGTACTAGTGTTGCTGTGAATTCATTTATGACTTTTCTTTTTCTTGAAGTTTGTGCCGCTGGATTATTCTATACCTGTCGAAATCCCTGTTATAACTTGTAAGCCAGACAAACTTCCCTTATTCAAACGACAATATGAAAATACCATATTTATTGGTAAGTTTTTCTTTTGAAATATTTTGCCATCAATGTGTCCGAAGTATCCTGTGCAGATTTACATAATTAATTCTTGATGACCAAGAAGTTCAGGTAGTTTACAAGCAATATAATTCATAATCTCAGGTTGTTGTAATATGCATGAAAATTGGGGGGAAAATATTCTTTCAGCTCACCATTTAAAATTTTACTTGTTTCTACTGAACTAGCAGCATTTAACTTTAAAAAATAGTTTTACGTATTTTTATTGATTCATTATGTAGAAAAAGTAATTTGTCCTTTTTCAAGAGTAAACCAGTAGAGCCAGACTTGAGGCAGTGATTGACTTTTTTATAAAAGTCTTCTGTTTGTGCCACACTCTGTGATAACCATTAGGAATATAAAAATTAATAAGGCCTGATGTCTGCCCTTGTGTAGCTTATACTTTTGCTATCTTTTTGTCTATTAATTCCAAGTTGAATTAATAGACAAAAGTTGAAGATTTTAAGAAACCAGCTTTATACTAGTCCTCCAGACGTATTTTATCAGCCCCTTCAGTGTCACTGTGGTCTTAGAGTGTGAACTGTGGAACTTTTGGTTGAAAAAAGTTTACTACTAAAGTCAAGAATATCAACACATCATGAAATATTGGCTCTCATTTTCCTTACTTGGAAATATAGTATAAAAATCATTTTTAAAAAAAAAATTAGGAGCAAGGTATGTAATTATTACACTAAAATGATAAAGGAGACTTTTTTTTTTTAAAGATTTTATTTATTTATTTATTTGACAGAGAGATAGAGAGCACAAGTAGACAGAGACACAGGCAGAGGGAGAGGGAGAAACAGACTCTCCACTGAGCTGGGAGCCCGATGTGGGACTCGATCCCAGGACCCTGGGATCATGACCTGAGCCGAAGGCAGATGCTGAACCGACTGAGCCACCCAAGCTCCCCTAAAGGAGACTTTTTAATGAAATGTTGGTATCATGTGGAGAGTAAGACAAAGAAAATAACGTAGCTCCCAATGATGAATGAAAGGTTTGAAAAAACCAAATAGGGAATTTCAAATAAACTTCACATACATTCTTTTGACTTATCCTGTGTCATCAGAGTGGGCTTGATGATAGCTAGCAGATTGTACTTTCATGTGAAGTTTAACTTCATTATGATCAATGAAATAAATCAACCTTCCCACTTGTGTATTTCGGATCCTGATCACAGGATGTGTGGAGGAGAAAGATGGGTTTGAAGCAGAGACTAAGGATGTGTGCTCCAGATGTTCACATGTACATTTCATCTGAAATGTTTTTATTTTGCTCTTCAGGCTCAAAGACAGCAGACCCATACTGTTACGGTCACACACAGTTTCATCTGTTACCTGACAAATTAAAAAGGGAAAGGCTTTTGAAACAGAACTGTGCTGATCAGATAGAAGTTGTTTTTAGAGCTAATGCTATCGCAAGCCTCTTTGCTTGGACTGGAGCACAAGCTCTGTATCAAGGTAAAACTGATTTTATGGCATTGTTCTCGGAAGATACCTGTGACATTTTAAGAATTTAATTGTTTCTTTGGGTTAAGTGTTGTAGGTTGAATCTTAACACTTTGAAAACTTGCAGTGACACAAAGCACGGTTGTTTTAAAATTCATAATTAAATATTTTACATTTGCAATTGGCAGGTGGTGTGTAGATAGTTACTTTGATCTTTTACTCTGACCACTTTCGTGTGAATGAATTATTTTCTGATGTTCTCAAGTAGGTGAAAGACTGTAGCCAACTAAGCCAACTCTGTAGATGATAGCAGCTTGCTGAAGCTGGAAAAGGAAATGCTTTGGTGGATTAAATTTTAGATTAAATCACAACTGTTCTGTATAATATCTTTGAAGGCTATATCCAGGATGTGGATTAAGAGATTGTTTATTCATCCAGTAAATAGTGAATGCTTTTTAGGAACCAGGCGGTGTGGGCCTTGGAGATGCGGTGTTGAATGCGGCAGGCAGATCCTACTGTCTTGGAGCTTATAGTGAGGAGAGTAAAAGATAATAAACATGTAGTATTTTTAACTAGTGGTAATAGTAGGGAGGAAATATACTACATAAGGAATAGAATGGCTTACCGGGTGCAGGTATAAATGAGATACGGGGCCGATTCCATTTAAATGGAGTAATTCAGGGGGTGGTCTCTAAAAAATGACATTTGAACGAAGACCTGACTGTTGAGGAGCTGCCTGAGCACAAATTTGGGGGAAAGACACTTCCAGGCAAAAGAAATACAAGTCTCTGAGGTAGAAACAGACTTGAGGTGTTTAAAGAACAATGAAGAAAGGGGAGGGGGAGAATGATGGAGGACGAGATAAAGGAAGCCAGACGCCAGATCTCAGAGCTCATTGTGAGGCATTGGGATTTTATTACAGAACCTGAAGTAGTAAACTGTAATATGTAACCAGATTGATCCTATATGAGTTCCCAGGAGGAATTTAATACAGATTTAATTATTTCTCGGCTCACCTGTTTTCTTCATACATATATATAATTTAGTCTTTTACTCATAATTTTTGACTTAAATGGAGAGAATAGGAATAGGATTAGACAGAAGCAGAAACAGGAATCTTTCTCAAAGGCATTAGAATGGCACTGTTTACGCTTTAAAAGTAAAGTGCTTCTTTTTTCCAGTATTTAATTACAAATGCTAACAATATTATTCATTGGCTGTCTTCATGAAGGCTGATAGAAAATATGTATGAGGAAAGAACATTACTGCTTGGCCCTAGGTTAAAGCCAGTCAGTCTAGAACAAGAAGCCAGAAAATATGAGTAGTAAAGGTATTAAAGGCATCCTGGAACCTATGACACAAGATAACACAAGGTGAAATAACAGCAGCTCATAAAACCAATTTCAAAATATGTAAAGGAAGAATAGAATTTGTCTAAGGACATGATCGAAGTCCTTAGAAAGTCCGTTTTTTTCTGAAGGTATTTTTTTTGTAGATTCTGGTGAAGTAAATGGCCGTAATGGTTATTGGGTGCTAGATGCTACTGGTACTGGGAAAGTGAACGAAGTTAGTACTAGATGTAGGGGAGATCTGCATCGATAGAGCTTGCTGCTTTTTTTAGATGAAGCGAGTTAAGGTTGAAAGCTGTTGAAGAGTGAAGTTGAGAATGTGTCATGAGTTTGGGGATATCAGAAAGGAGGAAATAATTTTTGATGCAGAAATAGAATATAGGATTAGAATGGAGAAGAGGAAACTTTGAGATCTTCAGGAATTTGCTAGGTAAAATAATTTAGGTTTTAGGGGATATTTGATACCCTCTAATGTGCAAATGTTTTGGTAAACTATATTCTATGTGTAAATTTCAGTATAACTTTTCTCTGTAGGATTTTGGAGTGAAGCAGATGTTACTCGGCCTTTTGTCTCTCAGGGCGTGATCACAGATGGAAAATACTTTTCCTTTTTCTGCTACCAGTTAAATACTTTGGCACTGACTGCACAAGCTGATCGAAATAACCCTCGTAAAAATATATGTTGGGGGACACAAAGTAAGCCTCTTTATGAAACAATTGAAGATAATAATGTGAAAGGTTTTAATGATGATGTCCTGCTCCAGCTAGTTCACTTTCTACTGAACAGACCAAAAGAAGACAAATGACAGCTGTTGGAAAACTAAGAAGAAATAATTGATTCAGGACTTCGGGAATACCTGAGTTTCACTGAAGGAAAAATAAAGGGAATTTTAATGATGAGACTTGTCAAATGCATTATTTTGAGACAAATATTTCTTTCTTTTTTTTTTTTTTTTAAAGATTTTATTTATTTATTTGACGGAGAGAGAGATAGCGAGAGCAGGAACACAAGCAGGGGGAGCGGGAGAGGGAGAAGGAGAAGCAGGCTTCCCACCAAGCAAGGAGCCCGATGTGGGGCTCGATCCCAGGACCCTGGGATCATGACCTGAGCCGAAGGCAGAGGCTTAACGACTGAGCCACCCAGGCGCCCCGAGACAAATATTTCTTATGTTAACTTGTGATTAGACCTCTCATTTTGCTCAGAGTACACACTGAAGGATTTAATTTTAGATAGAATATGTTGTTTTAAGGTGATTTTATTCATAGATAGCTAATTGATGAGACCAATTGAGCTATCTGCAATACCTGGTATTAGTGGCATGTGATTTTGAAAGTAATGGAAGGACAGTAATTCAAAAGTTTGAGAATAGGTAGATGTGCTATATTTTTATTTTTTGTTTTTAATTTTTTCATTGATAAATAATTCAGAGTTTCAGAGTCCTACTCAAACTGCTTTAAAATTGGAACAATATTTTGCAAGTATAGGAAACTGAGGCCCAGAGGAGTTAAGTGACTTTTCCACAATTTCACAGTTGATTAATAATATAACTGATGAATTATATGCAACTTAGGTTCTTAGCACTCAGAAGTAACGTTAACAAGTGCAGGACTGTTATTTAATGCCAGCACCTAACACATGGCGCAGGGTACTCGATAAATATTTGACCCAGGGGCACTGGGCTGGCTCATTCAGTAGAACATGCGACTCCTGATCTCAGGATTGTAAGTTCAAGCCCCATGTTGGGTGTAGAGATTACTTAAAAATAAAATCTTTATATTAAAAAAAAAAAAGGATGAAGAAGAAGTAATGTTAACGTATTCTGTTCGTGTTTTGCTCTATCCCAAAGATGAGGAAACTAGGTTTGCTATGTTTCAGAATCAGTTGTCAGTTAGTAAAATTGTTAATCTTGTTGAGAATTAAGATTTCCTTCAAAACATTTTTAGTGAGAAAAAGGAATTACCTTTGTATAATCATGCTTACTGTTTTTATTTTAGAACCTCCTGTTGTGAATTTTTAAAACACCCAATTAGGTACTGTAGTCATATGACAGATTCCTCCCTTCCTCCCTTCTTTCCTTCCTTCCCTACCTTTCTCCCTCCCTCCCTCCCTCCCTCTCTTGCTCTCTCTCTTTCAAGACAGAGGCCACAGTTATATTGATCGATTCCTCAGCTAGAAGCCTAGGGATTATTGCCATAGATGATTGCAAAACTGAAGGAATAGCACCTGAAAGATGTTACTCAGTTCAGTTGAAGGCTTGCTTTGCAAGGCTTTGTGCTGTGTTCCATCTTTAGCACATTATTTTCAGTTTACCCAGAAAGCCATGTCATTTCACACCACCATTTGTTTATTTAAGCAGTTTACAAAGCTTGGAATACTGTTCTCTACCTTTGGTCCTGTCTGTTCAATCCATATATTGCGTCCCCATTCATCCTTGATGGAAAAATGCAGATGTATAGAGAGCAACCTTACCAAGCTCCAAGTACAGTGATATTTCTCTTAATGTTAGCTTTCACTTTCTAACTCTTTGCGTCTTGGGCAATTTGAGTTGCCATCCTTTATTTCTGCCCCCATAAAACAAAATTACCTTACAGAGTTTAAGGATTAAATGAACTAGTGCATGCAAAAGTGCTTTTAGAATTCTATGTAATTAAAATACTTAGGATTCAGTTGAAATGCCATTGCTTTCCCTAAGCTGATTATATTTAATTCATGTTTAGTTGTCCCATCCTTTGAATACTTAAACCTTTCGTAGCACCTGTTTCATTCTCTCGTAATAATTTTTCTCATCCCAAATGGAGAACACATACCACATACATACCATAAAACATATCAGGACCTCACCTAACACTTATATATTCTAGAGAGTGGTCTAGATATTTTACATATATTAGCTTATTTAATCCTCACAAACATTCCATGAGCTAGGCACTATTTTGCAGATGAGTTAACGGCACAGAATACCCAATAACTTACTGAAGAACATAACACTACAATGTGGCAGGTTTGAAATTTCAGCCCTGGTGATCTGACTCCAGAACCTACCTATAACCACTCTGGTGTATATTCTTTAATAATACACTGTAGATGTCAGTGCTACAGAAGTACAACAGTGACATAAATTTAGATAAAGGATGGGTTAATTCTGACTAGTATGAATCCTGGAAATGTGTTTTGGAGCAAGTGGTATTTGAATTGGCTCTTGAGAGAGGGTATTTTCCAACAAGAGGACAATAAGTGGATGGAACTGTGAGTGAAGGTGGGAAGCTGCAGGACGGACTTGGGAAATAGGCAGTAACTTCATTTACGCAAGTTAGATGTGGCCTAAAAGCAGTTGGGGAGAAAAATTACTTACCAAGAAACAAAAATCTAACTGGTCTCAGACTTCTGTATAACACTGAGCATTAGGAAACAGTGCAGCAGTGTCCTAGACTTCCAGAGGAAAAGCTACAACAAGAAGTCTAGGACCAGCCAAGATAATAGACAATGTAGGACAACTGAAAAAAAAAATGTCAGGATGCCCAAGTCACTTACAAAATCAGTTTATGGAAGTGTACTATAGTTGATTAGCAAATGATAGGAGGAACTAATGAATGGAGAATCAAAATGAATATAATGAGTACACAAAGTCATATCAGGCAAAATTAAGCATAAAGCAGAGCTAGTAATATTAATTTCAAGCAATTTAAGGCAAAAACAAAACTCCAGTGTTAAAAGGTCATTAATATGTTGTAAATTGTTATCAGTATATGAAATTTAATGTAAATCAAGTTGGAGTAACTAAAAATAAGGAATAACTAGTAAAATTAAAGTTTGGTACTTTTTTTTTTTTTTAAAGATTTATTTATTTATTTGTCAGAGAGAGCACAAGCAGGGGGAGCTCCAGGCAGAGGGAGAAGCAGGCTCCCCACTGAGCAAAGAGCCCGATATGGGACTTGATCCCAGGACTCTGGGATCATGACCTGAGCCAAAGGCAGACACTCAACTGACTGAGCCACCCAGGTGTCCCTAAAGTTTGGTACTTCAGAAAAAAGTTTTAAAAATGTGATAGAACTTTTTTTTTTTTTTTAAGATTTTATTTACTTGACAGCAACAGTGAGCGAGAGAGGGAACACAAGCAGGAGGAGTGGGAGAGGGAGAAGCAGGCTTCCCGCTGAGCAGGGAGCCCGATGCGGGGCTCGATCCCAGGACCCTGGGATCATGACCTGAGCCGAAGGCAGATGCTTAACGACTGAGCCACGCAGGCACCCCAAAAATGTCATAGAACTTGTATACAAAATCATTGATTAGACTATAGGAAGTCTCAGGAAATTTTTTTTTTTTTTTAAAGATTTCATCTACTTATTTGTCAGAGAGAGAGCACAAAAGCAGAGGAAGAAGCAGGCTCCCTGCTGAGCAGGGAGCCCGATGCAGGACATGAGCCCAGGACTCTGGGATCATGACCTGAGCTGAAGGGGAACGCTTAACCTACTGAGCCACCCAGGCGCCACTTCAGGGAATTCTTTTTTTTTTTTTTTTTTAAAGATTTTATTTATTTATTTGAGACCAAGAGAATGAGAGAGACAGAGAGCACATGAGGGGGAGGAGGGTCAGAGGGAGAAGCAGGCTCCCTGCCAAGCAGGGAGCCCGATGCGGGACTCGATCCCGGGACTCCAGGATCATGACCTGAGCCGAAGGCAGTCGCTTAACCAACTGAGCCACCCAGGCGCCCCACTTCAGGGAATTCTTAAAAGCCAGAATTATATAGGTCATGAACTCTATCCACACCACAGCATATCTAAAAGTTACAGTTTTATAATCAGAAACGTAATCATTTGAAAAAAGTGTCTTTCTAAATAACTATAGAGTTGCTATTAGTTTGCCTGGACAGAATATTCAATATAGAATCAAACATTCCCAGAGCTATATCGCAGTCTAAAAATGAAAGCTATCAAGGGGTGCCTGGGTGGCTCAGTCGTAAGCGTCTGCCTTTGGCTTAGGTCATGATCCCAGGGTTCTGGGATCAAGCCCCGCATCGGGCTCCCTGCTCCGCAGGAAGCCTGCTTCTCCCTCTCCCACTCCCCCTGCTTGTGTTCCTGCTCTCGCTATCTCTCTCTGTCGAATAAATAAATAAAATCTTTAAAAAAAATTAAAATAAAAATGAAAGCTATCTTACTTGCCTTTTCATTTTTAATCAGATATATTTTTATATAATCTAGACATTTGTACATTTCCTATGCTTGACAAATTTATTTCTTTGACCAAGAAAGCATTTTATTAATGTAAAAATAAAAATTTTAAATTTTAAAATGTAATAAATTACATATAAAGTTAGTAGGTTATAGCAAAAGTTATTCTGAACACGTTTACTCTTAGGGATACGTGAAGATGCTGCAGGATATAACCACTAAATAAATATAATCCATCTTCCCTCTGCAGCTGTCAACCAACCTGCTTTAATACCCTGAGAAAAATGATATTTCTATTAAAACACATGGAATAGAATGTAAAAAGCCACATTTTTTAAGAGATAAAGCGTGAAGTTCAAAGAAATTTTCACTAATCTCAGAATTCTGGTGCCAGGAATGGCCAGCAATCCCTGTACCGACAGATGAAAGATGACTCCAAACTTTGCCGTGAAAGAGAGGAGAAGGCAAGGGGGTCAACGGTCAGAGACGAAGACCCTTTGCTCTTCTTTGCTCTCACCTTTATTCGTGCTTCAGGATAATCCTAAATCTTTATTACTCTGTTTCTCAAGCAAGTGATGTGTGGCAAGGAGTCTTGCAGAAAATAGAACACTGATTACGGGAAAGATACAATGCGCTGATCAGCCTGTTCAAGGAGTTCTGCTAAACATAGCTTTAGGGGACAATGCATACATCTCTTAGATCACAGGGTGGCTGTTTGGGCTAAGCTAGCTTCAGGGAAGGTAACTCCCCAGGGCATGCCTCGGGCAGAGTGATTTGCAGGCCCCAGCATTCCAAGGCCTAGGCCCTTCTCAGAAACCTTCCCTGCCCCCAGCGGCTTCTGTGTTACATTTTAGCAAGCCAGGTACTATGGATGATTTCATATTCTACATTAACCCCAACACTCTAGAAGAGCTTCAGATCTTTGGCTCTTTAGTCTTAGATTTGAGACCCATTTGTCAGTTTACTTAATGGCAAATTTATAATGCTATGTGTTTATATAAAATAAGAAAATCAGCATTTGCCAGAGAGTTAAAAAAAAAATAAGGAAAATTAGAACAAAAATATAAATGTAGAAGGTGATTACACAGAAAAGAAAACAGAATTGACAAATAGATCGGTAACTGGTTCCATATTCTAGCCTTTCCCGTGTCAGTAAAAGATAATATTCTGGCAAATCTAATCAAGAGGGAAAAGAAAACACTTAAAATTGGAAAAGGTGATGTAATATACATGATGGAGACTCTGGATAAGAAAATACAAAAATAGAAAATTTGGACATTTTTCACTGAGAAATGTACATAAAATTAAAGCAAGTAAAGATAGAAAAATTGGCCATGGAAGAAACTGAAAATGTTTCCGAGAAACTTCCTGCAAGGGCCCAGAGTGACAGAGTTTACCCATAGATTCTTTTTTTTTAAAGATTTTATTTATTTATTCATGAGAGATAGAGAGAGAGAGAGAGACAGAGGGAGAAGCAGACTCCCAAGGAGCAGGGAGCCCGATGCAGGACTCGATCCCAGAACCCTGAGATCATGACCTGAGCCAAAGGCAGACGCTTAACCATCTGAGCCACCCAGGTACCCTACCCATAGATTCTTAAGAATTTCCAGGAGGGCGCCTGGGTGGCTCAGTTGGTTAAGCGACTGCCTTTGGCTCAGGTCATGATCCTGGAGTCCCTGGATTGAGTCCCGCATCGGGCTCCCTGCTCGGCAGGGAGCCTGCTTCTCCCTCTGACCCTCCCCCCTCTCGTGTGCTGTCTGTCTCTCTCATTCTCTCTGTCTCAAATAAATAAATAAAATCTTTAAAAAAAAAAAAAAGAATTTCCAGGAAACAACCTAAATTTTGGAACACTACTCAGTTCATTTTATTGTTCATTTTTCCAGTTAAAAAAAAATCACTAAGAAATGTCTAAGTTAAGTGCACATTTCATTATAAATGCTGAAATCCCAAATAAAATGTTTACATACCAAATTCAACAGTTATTAAAAGAATCCATCCTATAAGGTAGATTTAATCATGGAAATTCGGTAATGGATGGATGTTAGGATGTTAGGAAATAGCATATGCTAATAGAGGACATTAGTGGTTCAAAGGAGAAAAATAAGGCTTTTGATAAAATTCTTACTCTTGTTTAAAAAAGGAAAGAAACATAGGTAAGTATTAATAGAAAGATATTTTAATGAGAGCCTTATATTAGTTAACTCCTGACTTAATTTAATGGTGAAACATAAGTGTTATTCCCACTGAAGTCAAGTAAGACTACCAACTTTGACCTTTATGTGTTTTGTTTTCTGATCCAGTCTAAGTGCTAGAATCATAGAAGTAGGTATTAACTTAAGGTTTGTTGAATGGATGTAAACTAATGAACTAATGAACTTTCTAGTTTGATATTTGGTGTATCTCCTTATTTATTTGCACCTTTTATACCTCAGCAAAATTTAGGGTTTTCTTTATAAAGATTGCCACACATTTATTTATGACTAGATTTTGTGTAATTGTGAATGAATATTTTCTTTCCAATTATGTTATTTATAGTTTTTAAAAATGGCTTTTGTACTACTATTGATATATGTTTATTTTGTAAAAGTCTAATTAGCTCATTAAATCAATAATTTTTTAGTTGAGGGGTGCCTGGGTGGCTCAGTCAGTTGAGCGGCTGACTTGGTTTCAGCTCAGGTCGTGATCTCAGGGTCATGGGATCAAGCCCGAGTCAGGCTTTACACTCAGTACAGAGTCCTCTTGAAGATTCTCACCCTCTGCCCCTACCCCAATGTAGGCGCACCCTCTCTCTCTCTCAAATAAATAATAAATCTTAAAAAAATGTTAAAACCTTAAAAAAAAAAAGAATGTTTTAGTTGATTCTCTCGAGATGTATAGGTCCAATCTGATTTGGGTTCCTCTAAAACTGCTTATTAGCATAGTCATTAACCTTCATGTAGCAAAATCCACTGGTCAGTTAGTTCTATGACCTTATTTTACTCAGTATATCTGACTCATTTGGCGTGGTTGACCACTCCTTCATTCTTCATGTAGTGTTGCAGTGTCTCCTATTGCCTCCAATGAAAAATACTCTCGGTTTTCCTCCTTTCTCATTGACCATTCTTTCAAATTCCCCCTTTCTGTTCTTCCTCTAATCTTCGTTCAAATATTGGTATACCTCCAGGTTCTGTCTAGGCTCCATCTTTTCCCTAAATAACCTTACCAAGTCCCATGGATTTAAATATATTTATAAACACATTCAGAATTATAATTTGATTTCAACTTTGTTTCTTATTTGAACTGTATACATCACCATTGTAATTGAACAAGTGTGAGTGATTATATTACTGGTGATTTTTTCCCTAATTTTTCAATTTTCTGAATTCCTAGAAAATACATACTATTTTTATAATCA